CCGTGGCACCACCACCTTACTCACTGCCGGAACTATTCCTCAGCTGTGCTGCCGTGGCAGCACCGCTGACTCACTGCCGGAACCATTCCTCAGCTGTGCTGCCATGGCAGCACCGCAGACTCACTGCCGGAACTATTCCTCAGCTGTGCTGCCGTGGCACCACCACCTTACTCACTGCCGGAACTATTCCTCAACTTTGCTGCCGTGGCACCACCGCTTACTCACTGCCAGAACTGTTCCTCAGCTGTGCTACCGTGCGAGCACCGCTGACTCACTGACGGAACTGTTCCTCAGCTGTGCTGCCGTGGCACCACCACCTTACTCACTGCCGGAACTATTCCTCAACTTTGCTGCCGTGGCACCACCGCTTACTCACTGCCGGAACTATTCCTCAGCTTTGCTGCCGTGGCAGCACCGCTGACTCACTGCCGGAACTATTCCTCAGCTGTGCTGCCGTGGCAGCACCGCTGACTCACTGCCGGAACTATTCCTCAGCTGTGCTGCCGTGGCACCACCACCTTACTCACTGCCGGAACTATTCTTCAAGTGGTGGTCACTTACTTAATTGGTGGTCACTTACTTAATGCTGCACTTTTACAGCTGTTTGGATTCACATTTCTAGCCTATAAACATGCGCCTTCTCCCTGGCAAAAGGTTTAATGAGCATGATATATATCTATTAACATTTCAACAGATCCACTTCACAGCACATTACATGCAGCACAATGTTCCTTTACATGCACTGTGAAACTATAATGATCGTGCTCATTAATGCGGGGCGCAACTTCTATACATGAATACTCCTTTCTATACAGTGATTAGATGAGAATAATGGACGGATGGACGGACGGACGGACGGACGGACGGACGGACGGACGGACGGACGGACGGACGGACGGACGGACGGACAGACAGACAGACAGACAGACAGACAGACAGACAGACAGACAGACAGACAGACAGACAGATAGATAGATAGATAGATAGATAGATAGACAAAAAAGTATTTTTGAATGAACAGATATAGAAATTGCAACCTACCTATCAGGATGGTGTTGATTTTTGATCTTCCTTTCATGAATTTCATTTATCCCTGAAAGACAGGTAAAATATGCATACACGCATTAGACCCCCATTTAAGTATGATTACTCATGTTCATTTAATATATTTAGGAATTAATGCATTATTTTTTTTTTTTTTTACTTAACTACAATGAAACATTTTGTTGTCGTCTTGATCGGGACTCAATGACTCTGACTGGAATAAAATAAGAAACCTATGATAATAATAATTGTTTCTTAAATGTTTTTTGCCTTGTGGCTTAATAAAGAAAACGGTCAAAGTAAAAATGTTAAATTTCTGAAAATCCGCTAGAGCAAAGGATGCCGTTAAGCCCAACTGCTTAGATTAAGAAAAGTAATTTCCATTCACTGTCCGTTTAAAAAAAGTTTGAAGCTAGATGTAAAATGTTCCTATTTTGTTTGGTTCTTCTGTTCTTCTGAGTTGTTATTATGGGGTGGAAGTCGAAACTTTCGAAAACTAATTTTAGAGGATATTTGCAACTTTAACGTTTAGTTTCTGTGCGCTTCTAGTAATTACCATGGCAACTCTCAGGTGACGATTTAACTCTGCGACGCCCAATTGCTACGTCACCACGAAGGGACCGTGTTTTGGTTTGTGGAAGCAACTTGTTCTCAGACATCTCTGGTTATTTTTGCGTTTCTTTGCATCCAACCTGCGCTGTATGTTAGCAAGATGTTAACCGCAGAGGATTTTACACAGTTCCCGCTCCTCGTGTGGGAAAAGGTGTTCGCGAAGGTGAAGAAAGCGGTGGTGTTTATGGATGACAGGTGTGCAGAAGCTCTCCACTGGAGCGGAGGGGCTGCAGCCTTGCTGGAAGCTGGAGCCAGGAACCTGAAGCAGTTTTCGAGCTTCGAAGCGTGTGGTGAGAACGAGCCCAAAGCCGTGTTTGTGGTGAGCACGCTGTTAAAGGGGAGGACGGTGGACATCATAAAGGACATCATATCTCTCAGTAACTTTCAGTACTGCGTCGTCATCACCGCTGTGCCCCACTCTGTGCACCTGTTCGCCAACAATGTCTCCTCGGAAATGGGGGGGAACCCTGTGTTTGAGCAGTTTGAGGAGAAGCTGTGCGAGTGGATGGGGAACATGAACTACACGGCTGAGGTCATGCACGCGCCAGTGGGCTTCGCCTCCGTGTCCCAGCAGCTGCTGGTTGCTCCAACCTTCGCTCAGCTGTTTCCTCTGCTCCCACCTGACCTGGAAAGCATCAACGCAAAGCGACCAGAGAAGAAGAGATTTGGGACTTTAAACGACCTGGATGGACAGTCTCTCCCAGTGGAGCTGCAGATGGAAATCAAATGCTTGGTTTCGGTGTTAAACTCCATGTTTGACGCCTTAGGGTTGAAAGAAGAGAGTTTTGCTGTGGGACCAATGAGCCGCATCATCGCAGGAGAACTGGCCAATCACAGCCAGGCGAGAAACAGACGGAAGACTGCTCCCAATAAAGCATCAATCATCTTTATAGACCGAACAATGGACCTTACAGGTGATGCCTGCTTTAAATCTGACCTGTCCCATTCATTATTTACCTACATATTACAGATAGATCAATACATCTGCCAGCCGATATTTTTTTTTAGCCGATATTTTTGCTGTCCTTTTCATAAATCGGTATCAGCCGATATCCACACGTTTGACAAATTATTATTACATTCATCATCAATTCCCCCCAGATCTAGTGGAGTGCTTGTATTGCTGCCCGCTCCATTTTCTATCTATTATTAGTGTTTTTTGAAGAAGAAGATCATGGAAAACAAGTAGCATCCTCTTTAGAAGATTTTTTAATAACAAAGTGTCTTCAGTAAGAGGCTTCTTCAGATCTGCTGCAAGACAGACTAATACATAAGATCCCTCCTGCCTACAGCTATCAACACCAACAACAACTAAAAAAAAAAGAAACTATGTGTTACTGCAACATTTAATTTTCCTTTGGGATTAATGAAATATTTTTGAAGTTAATAGATTTTGCTTGATGCCAGATATTAGATCTATCTTATTTCTCCACCACATCCCACAGATACATTGGGTTGAGATCTGAGTAATATATTGGCCTACACCTGAACTTCATCGTCACACTCCTTAAAGCATCCCTTCACCCCCTTTCCTTTACTCTGAACATCGATCAGAAAACCTGATCATGTTGCTGGTTTACTTGTGCTCTTTCCATTGGACTTTTGGTTTATAATAATTACAGCCTCACTGACTTTCCTCTTTATTATCCGCAGGAGCTGTTGGTCATCATGGTGACAACCTGGTTGAGAGGATTCTTACTGTGCTGAACCCGTTGCCTGGTCACGTGACAGATGTGCAAGTGGACATGTTGGAACTCACAAGTGTACAGAAAACTCCTCACTCCCAGAACACTGTGGCCCCTGGCTGTCTGGCTCAAACCCAGTAAGTTCAGTACAGCTGAATTCCTTAAAAAGGACTGAGCAAACAGATGTTGCAATAAAATGACCAAATACAGTAATTTGTTTAAAAAAATGTGATATCAACAAATGTGTTTTAATCCTACAAAACAGAACACTATAATACACAGTAAAAGCTGTTAAGTAAAACAACAGGCATAAAGTGTGAATAAAAGATCATTCTAATAGGCATGATTCCTTCTTTGCTTTAACATCTTAAGCCTGAACATCCCGGTACCAGTATGAGCCTCTAAGGGCGGAGCTTTGTCTTTTCTTTTCTTACATTTTAAATGTAAGGTCTATCAGAAATTTCGGACTTTCTCATAAAAATGCTTCTTTGCGCCAAATTTCAGGCTCCATTTTGTACATATAAAAAGCTTTGTAAATTAGAACCCTGCACATAGATGGGATGATTTCAGATGAATGTTCTGCTATTTAAACCAGAGGTTAAAATAGGTTTAAGCTCCGTATCTACCAAAATAGTCCTAGAATGGACCCATGTCCCAACTTATTGGCTGGATTACAAACAAATATAAAGGATCAATCAAATGCATAATAGAAAAGAAAAAAAAAAACAACCAAAACCAATGTTAGGTTTCGTCTATTTCTAAATGAAGTTTTCCTATCTGTTAACATAAATATGCCTTATAATCACTTATAGTTTGTTTCTATTTTCTATTGATAATCTCAAGAATGTGATATCAACAAATGTTAGGAAACTGTGATCCAAACCAGTCCCTTTTGTCTTTGGCTGTATGTTGAAGGTCTTTTTTACATATTTAGCTTCATAGATTTTTCTGAGAACCTCTGGTCAGCTTCCTTCTCCTGGCTGAAAATAAAAAAAAAGAAATGACAGATAATACTGCCACCACCGTGTTTTCACATGGGAAAGCTGTATACAGGTTGGTGCGCAGCATTAATTTTTGGATACTGGGTAAAAATTTTGGGGTTTATTTAGCTATTAGTGTCATCTTAGCTTGTGGTCAGTTGGGTGACTAACACCTATCCTGCCCACAAACATTATTCAAATCTTAGAACTTGCTTAAGAAGCTAAAACCGCTTTTAATTTCTCCACAATGTTATCAGGACATTTTATTTTCCTCATACTTGAAAAGAAAGGCCAGAGATAAAAATTTTCTTTTTTCTTTTTTTTTTTGTTTTTACCATAGTTTTTCTGTTATCTGAGGCTTTCCTCAAACACTAACAGTTATAGTCATATCGTAAATAAAATGCTGATAGATGGATTTTATTTTCTATTTGGGTAACTCCTAAAGCTGTGTTTGGACTTTAATTAATTTAGAATCATCAGATTGAGCAGTTTGTCATTATTGCTAGTCACAAAATAATAAAACCATATACTGTATTTCTCTATCCAATTCACAGAAACCAATTTTTTTCTTTTTTTGTAAGATAATTCCCTATGAAGCACCTCCAGGATTGTTGATCCAAGGAAGGGATGACTGCAGCATATGCATGGTATTTAGATTCAGCATTAAAAGTGATCAGTAAATGTATTAAAAGATAGATAAAAGGAATTGGGGTTTGCAATTTAACCACAGTTTTTTTTTCTTTTAATCATTCAGGTTAGACCAATTAAGACTCTGTAATCACGCTGCTCTCCCAGCCTTTTCATTCTTTTGTCTCTTTAGATTTCATTCGTCTTGTCAATATATCATAGAATGAGTGATGTTTAGGAAAACATGGTTATTATCCCTTAATAAGCTTTTGACAGAAAGAATAATCTGATTTAATCATCCAACTAAGCCACAAATTAAAATCACTGGCCACATGTGTGTTTGGTCAGGATGGAAAATCAATTCCACCGGCCGAAGCTCCTCCTCTCTAACTGAAAGAAGCAGCATTTGACCAGAATGGGGTGCCAGTTGTTCTGGTCTTGGCTGTGCAGGTGCATGTGTTAAGTGCCTGCGGTGAGGCTGTGGATCATGGCAGCAGTTAGCTCTACATCATTTCCTCCACTCTGGCTTTATCCCTTCATGTGGTTGCTGGAGAAAAAGTTTGGTGGCTAGAGCTGCAAGGGATTAAGTGTAACCATGGTGATTTTATAAGGGATTAAACATAACAAAAAAAAAGAATTCCGGGTATATTAGTACGTTTTATTTTCATGACATCCATTTTCTGTCACGCTTATCCCAAGCGGGGTCGCAAGGGGTGCTGGTGCCTATCTCCAGCTGTGTACAGGTGAGTTGGTGGTTCCACCTTGGACAGGTTGCCAGTTCATAGCAGGGCAACACAGAGACAAACAACCATTCACACACACAAACACATGCCTAAAGACTATTTTAGAGAAGCCAATTAACCTAACAGTCATGTTTTTGGACCGTGGGAGGAAGCCAGAGTACCCAGAGAGAACCCATACATGCTCAGGGAGTACATGCAAACTCCATGCAGAAAGACCCCAGGCCGGGAATCGAACTCGGAACCTTCTTGCTGTAAGGCAGCTGCAAGGCAGCAGTGTTACCCACTGTGACACTGAGCAGGCCATTTTCACAACATTATTAGTCAATTGGTTGCTAACACTGGGTTGTTAGCTGTTTTTGTTTTTTTTTTCAAACCCACACCAAGCATTTTGGAGCACTGATGACTCAGTAGCTTTCAGAGCTACCATTAGCAGAATTAACTTGCAACAATTGCCTTCTGTCTTTGTCTTGTCTTGCAGGAAAATTATGGCCCACTGTGTCTGTGGAGACTTGCATCAGTTCCTTTATATCCTGCATCATAAAGTTATTATAAATTCATATTATTTAGTCATATTAAACTCTTTTTTTCTACATCTTTTATTTCTAAATTAAAAGGTTTAGTTTATACATTCAGTATACGCACCTATACAGTATATAGAAAAACTGGAGGGTCAGATTGTCATTTGAGAGTCATTTGACCGAGAGTGCCGCTTCACTGCAATCTGAGCCCCCCTCAAGCATGAGAGCTTACTAAACTAAAGGTTGTTCCTTTAAAACAATACAGATATACACCTGATCAGACATGGTTCTCTGATGTAGGATTTAGTCTAAAGGGGTGAAAGTGGCCTTGTTTTTCCCAGCAAGTTCACGACTTTTCAATCTGCTGGTCCTAAGTGGTCTGTTATCAGATTGCAAAACACAGCAAAACTGTTTTATTTTGCAGTAATCACCTTCAGAATTTCTAAACATGGAACTCACAGGTCTAGTACACCAGGTAGTGGAAGTTACACATTATTTAAAAAAAAATTAATCCAATTTAGTTAATTTGGACTTGACTTGGGTTGGTATGATTGTTTGATTAATATAGAAAGGTTTCCATTTGTTTAAGCAATTATTTTACTCAATAATATGATGGACACTTAAAGCCGTTTTGAGACGATTTAAATGTTATTACTTTGGCTTGTTTTGGTACCATTTAACCTCTATACTGCAAACACATATTGTGCACTTGTAACAAGTATGTGTGGAGTAGGGGCTGGGGCGATTGGCAGGATCATTATTGCTAGTGCAATCTCGGAGCAGATGGCCCTGTAGAGTCTTATCGCAGATTCTTCTGAGACTAAAGTGCTGCAGAGGCAGAGCGAGAAAGAATACCAGTGATCCCGCTATATTTAAGTGCCTTAAAGTGCACAGCTCGCCACAGGCAGCGTTACTGTTTATCACTTCAGCACGTTAACGACAGCAACCTGCATATAAACCCTTTTAGAACTGCTCACACATTTAAATCATTCGCAATTAGGCATAGAAGGAATGTTTCTGTTGCTAATTTTAAACCGTACTAAGAACGGGACCCTTCTGGCTCCAGAAAATTAATTTCCTCCTACTGGATGTTTATACACCTACGAACTGCAAGGCTATTTTTAGGCTGTTGTTAGTGGTTTTGTAGTGGAGACCATCTTAAATGTTTAAATATTAGGTGTAGGCTTAATTTGAAGCTCTTTGTATGATAATTCCCTCAGTAATTCCAGGATATTTTCTTTAGATCACTCTGTCTTAAACATTATGTGGGTGGTTGTTGATTCTAGCTCTTCAGGCGAGACCCCACAGTTACTTTGCAATTACTATTATATTACCTTTCATAACCTTGAGAGGGTATGCCAAATCCTACAACCTGACTTGCACATTGTGGTCACAGTGATAACAAAGAGAAAGTCTGCTTTCTGTGTGTCTGACAGGTCTGGAACATGCAAACACTTTGCTTATGAATGAGTTTTATTTTACTCCTCCAATCTTAGATAGTAAGTATATTCTGGACGTATATTTTATCGTGTTTTCTGGCATTCTTTGCAAAGGAAGGTTTTTTTTCTTTAAACCTGGGTATGTGGGTGTGTGAGTGTGTCCTTGTGGTCAGGTGCCTTCCAGTCCAGTATGTGTAATTTGCTGTGCTTGGCTTCACAGTCACTTTTTCATCCAGAGAAGGACCTTTGAGTTTCATTGGCAGAGGGCACAGAGTTTCCCCCAGTCCCAGACTGAACCCCACACACCCATCATCTGTCTGTCTTGGACCTTGATTCTGAGGTTGGAGCGTGTGCAGTGTGGGCAGAGCAGAGCATGGGTGGCCAAGGTGCTCTGGGTCTCTCTCAGGAACTGGAGAGGGAGAGAGAGAGCGCCAGGCACAGACACTGACCCCACCCTGCCATTAAAAAAATCTCTTCTCCTTAAATTGAGCCTGCATATCCTGCATATATGCCACCAGGAAGGAGGAAAAACACCCTTTTTTGTCTTGGCTGGGAAATATGAGCAGGAATAAAAAGTTAACAATTTTTAGTAACAGTGGTGTGGGAACAATAACGAAAACAGAGATAGTGAAGTTTTGAGAGATTCGAACAAATGAAAGACACTTTAGAATAGAGAACTATGTTTTTGAACCACAGAAGATTCATAGAGTAGCTTTGCTGGTCCTGTTGTGGTTTCTAACAGGGCTGAGGCTGTTTTTCCTTAGACACAAAACAGAGGCTCACAGTGATTTAAGTCGTGGAAGTTATTCATTGGCAACTCTTCTCTCTTA